TGTGTGTGTGTGTGTGTGTGTGTGTGTGTGTGTGTGTGTGTGTGTGTGCGTGCAGGTTGAGTGCAGGAGTTGTGTTTATCCTCTGGCTGCAGACGGGACAGGGGCGAGGGAGTCAACACGTGCACAGGGTCGTGGACGCTGCCGGCCAGAGCCTCATCAACACCAGTGTGGGCCGCGGGGGAATCCACAGGAAGGCCGTCATCATGTCTGTGTCGACCGCAGGTACAGCAGCGACCGTCACGTGTCACAATCACAATTAGTCTCATAGGGCTCAACGAGGTGAGACGTTACTTTACCTGCGGTTCTTCATTCTGCTGTGCGGTTTAGATTGCACTGATTATGAAAACAGAGAAATCGTAAAAGTCAAGCTAAGTGCTGAATACAGAACTCTGTGCAGCCGTGCATCTTCCTGTGTGTGTGTGTGTGTGTGTTTCAGATGTAAACGAGTGTGGGACCCAGCTGGTGTTGTGCGACGTTAAAGCAGAATGTGAGAACCAGTTCGGCTCGTACTCGTGCCGCTGCCGGCCGGGTTTCCTGGACGTGTCCCGTCTGGGATCTGGAGGAACCGTCTGCGTGGACGTGGCGGCTGCAGGTACTCGTGCTCGGATCATCGCTTCACTCCACACCTGCCACGTGCGCTGACTTCCTGTTGTTCCTGTCTTGTTCAGGTTGCAGCTCGGGCCTGTCAGCTGAGACCAAAGGCGTCTACGTGCTCTTCTTCCTGCTCAGCTCCCTCATCCTGATGCTGCTGGCGGCCGCCGGCATGCTGTACCGCCGTCACCGCCGGGGGACCTTCCTGGTTCATTGCAGCGGCATCTCACCTCCTGACCCCAACAACAACCGTCACCATCACGACGGCTACTCGAGCCCCAGCGACTCTGACATGCCCCCGCCACCCCCGCCCCCCCGGGCTGCCCCCAGAGAGGCCTGGCCCCAGGTGAAGGAGCTCTGTCCGACTGTGGACCTGCCGCTGCTTCGCTTCAGCCCCCTGCTGCCGCCGGACGTCTACCTGGAGCCACGGCAGGGCGGGAAGATGTGATCCCAGTGGAGAATCATGACTGTTTGTTCAGAGGTCTTTATTTAGTTTTCTTTCACTGTCTTATTCTCTGCTCCACTGTTATCTGATGAATTAAAGTCACAATTATAAACAGCATTTTCCTCTTGTCTTGGTATTTACGGGATCGGCCCCTTCACTAAAATGTAGTCGTAGTAGAATCTGACCAATGGAGGGGAAACTCGTGTTTATAAACCGAGAAACAAGAAAGACGTTTCGAACTTGTGGGAATTTGTATCAACACATTTTAATCGTCAGGATCAATAATCGACTCTCTGAACATTTTCTACACATTTAAATTCAGGTGTGTCTGAGAGACTCTCTCGGTCAAGGACACTCCAGCAGGACGCTCGGCCCGTTGATGGAAGCGTGACCTTCCAGTTTCAGAGCGGCCACCCTGCACCGCTGTGTGCGGGGAGTGAAGTGTAGTCTGAGGCGGCCCACCCAGTCCGAACCACTTTAATAGGCTTACAGCAGCTAATCCAGGGCGGCGTGCTGTCACATGGGGAGTCTGCTGACCTTACTCTGCTTTATTACAGGGTGCTTGTTCCCTCGGCTCTTCTCTGCGCTCACAAACAGATCCTCTTTTCCACCGTCTCGTATTGTCTTTGGGCTTCAGACCTGCGATGTAGATTAATGTAACTGACCCAGTTTAAGCTCTGATAAATCCACTGCGCTCACACACCCGCCCGACACTGGAACAATTTGCTCAGACGTCATTCTGACACATGAATATAACGTCAGCTGAGGATCTGTCAAGTGTTCTGTGGCAGTTTCTGCCCCTAGTGGCCAAAAAAATCAATCCATCAGTGCAGCTTTAATTTTGGAGATTTTCTGTGGCTCAGCAGACTGAGCACCTGATCCAAGGCTCGTCAGAGATCAATCACATCGCTCATGAATAAACTGTGATTCGAAAAGTTTGGAGATGACAAATATGAAAATAAAAATATTTATTTAACAATCGAAAGTGAAATACAAGATTATAGGTGAGTATTTTTACATCAAACTTAAAGAACTTTGTGACTCCGCTGACCATAAACAAAAGTGTGTGTGTGTGTGTGTGTGTGTGTGTGTGTGTGTGTGTGTGTGTGTGTGTGTGTGTGTGTGTGTGTGTGTCCTCTCCTCTGGAGCAGATGTGCTCTCAGCAGCTGTCCTGCCACACTGAGCTGATCTTTGTCCGGATGCTCCTCACGTCCTGCAGGTAGAATCACCAAGGACGACATCACTGGCATCTGTGGGGGGGAGGGGGGTCGCTCAGCTTCATGCCTCTGCTGGCGGCCTGAGGTCGTGGAGGCTGCTCCGCCCCTCGTGCCTCCGTCCAATGAGCCACGCTGAGCTTCACCTCCTGCAGGTGAAGCATCCTCCTCCCATAATCCCCTGCTGCAGCCCTTTGTGTTTTTCTGTCGAGGTTTTGAAAAGTCGATTTGTTGAATCACGACTGTTGGAAAAAGAATCTTCAGATGAATGAATCTAAATTTAATCTTGTCTGGTCCCCAGAGGATGAACCCTTCTGATTTGTGATTCACTGAGCTGATGTTATTTTGTCATCCATCGCGTGTCGACACAGAAACAACCGACACAATCTTCCCAAGTTCGCAACTTTTCAAAATAAAAGCTCTGCATGAAGAAGCTACAAAACGAATGCTGTGCTTTTACTGTAAAGACAAAGTACTAAACAGGAAGTGATTCTATGAATGTTGTTGCCATGACGGAGATCTGCAGCCAGGGTACTCGTGAATCTCTGTCAGTCCGACGTGAAATAAAAACAATCGACCTGAGGTTTGGCTCAGCTGTGGATGGAGTTTATCTGAGGACCTAGAAGAAGACATATA